GCTCCCGTCATTCGTCCTAGGGACCGGGGAGATCCAGGCCCAGCTGTCCAACTTCCGAGTCCCTAGTCCTCCGAACAAGGAAGGCTTGGGGTCTCCACAGCTACACCCGAATCCTGCTGCTACCGCGTGCCCGAAAGCTCCGCCCCAGCCCCACCTCCCACCGCACCCCCGAGCTCCTATTGGGGGCAGCAGGAACAGGCGAGCCTCGAGCCACTCCCCTTGTCCAATGGAGGGCGGAGGATGAGGTGCAGGGTGTGGCTTGCATGAGCCTCTCGGGTGGGGTGGGGCTGCACATCTGGCAGGGACTTCAGTCCCTGTCTCGTCCGCGCTTGCCTGGTCCAGTCCCCAGGTGTGTGGGACCACCCAGACCTCGGTAGCCAAGGCTATCAGCCAGGGCGGGCCAGCGACCCGGCAAGAGCTCTTGCTGGCCTGGTGTGGTCCCATTCTCTGAATGTGTTAGGTTGGGCTGCTCCCTAAAGTGGACTTTCGTTTTAGGAGCCGTATTGGAGTTTAGACAGGAGGCTAGATAGTGTGTAACCAACCAGCCAGTCCTGGTTGGTTACAGACCCACCCCAAGTTCTTTCAGTACTGGGGACTGAACTCTGTATTGTACGTTTGGGACAACTGCTCTGCGGTGTAAGCCCACCCCGACCCCACTTTTAGACCGGATCTCTCTTAACCCAGACTGGCCTATAAATCGCTAAATAGCCTAGAATGACTGAACTCCTGATCTTCCTTCCTCCGCCTCAGGGATGTTGGGATGACAGTCCTTTGCCACCATGCCCGGATCTGAGGATCCTGGGGATCCTGCCAGGGAGGCAGGCACTCCATCACGGACCCAGCCCATCTGATTACTGTTTGTCTTGCAATCAGCCTGTCTGGGACAGGAACATTTTATTTTATTATTATTTTGTTGTTGTTGTTGTTTTGGTTTTTCGAGACAGGGTTTCTCTGTGTAGCTTTGGAGCCTGTCCTGGAACTAGCTCTGGAGACCAAGCTGGCCTCGAACTCACAGAGATCCACCTGCCTCTGCCTCCTGAGTGCTGGGATTAAAGGTGTGAGCCACCAATGCCTGGCCAGAAACATTTAAAACGGTGGCTCCTCAGCCAGTTCAGGTGTGCTGACCAGCAGGAGACTGGAAGGAGTTTCTGTTAGTCAGCAGTGAATGGCTGTCAACTGTACAACCCCTGAGGAACTCCAGCTCCCAAAGAGGAGGGAGCTGGGGGCATCGTGGCCCATAACTTTAATCTCAGCACTGGGAAGGTACAGGCAGGTGGATCTTTGTGAGTTCTAGGACAGCCAGGGCTATACAGTGTGACCCTGTCTCAGAGAGAGAGAGAGAGAGAGAGAGAGATAGCTTGTGAGCCAGTTGAACAGGCAAACACTCAGCCATTTAGTTGTAATTATGAACAAGTCTTGGCCTGATTTTACCCACCGATCATTGCCTTCTTTAAGGAAAAAAATACATTTTATGAAGTCTTGAACAAGACCTGGTTTTCCGTCTTGCAGAAAGGCCTAAGTGCCCTGTGCTGACCTCTCTAGACCCTGGCATCTCTGTCACTCCTCATGTTCATAGTGACTACTACAGCATGCTCTGGCTTCCATGCTGTGCCTGGACCATTTGTTTATTTTCTTTAAGAATGTGATCTGCCGTGTGTGCACATGCCTTCAGGTTGACCAAGAGCAGATCTGGGGCTGGGGTGGTAGCTCCGTTGGTGACCTGTTTGCAGTCCAAGTGTGAGGACCAATCTAAGCCAGATGTGGAAGCCTGTAATGGCAGTGCTGGCAGGGTCCCTGGGTTACAGTGAGATCTGGTTCAGAGAGAGACAGAGACAAGGGTTCAAAACTTAAAGAAAGTCATGTGGCTTGGACTTCTGGCCTCCACACATAAACAGACAGAGCCAGAGCCGACGTAAGGGACATCAAATACATCAGAGGTTCCTCCCAGCACAGGGAAAGTACAATTTTGCAAGCATTGGTAACATGCCATGTGTGTATTCATTTGTCTCTGTCATATTTCTCACTGAATAGAATTAGTACAAGATTGGGTGAATTTTTTTCCTTATCTTTTTCATTTATCTACTTTTGGAGACTCTGTAGCTCAGGCTATCCTGGAATTCACTATGTAGAGTTCAGGCTTGCCTTAAACTTGCGGCAGTTCATCTGCACCGAGCTTTCTCTTTCTTTCTTTCTTTCTTTCTTTCTTTCTTTCTTTCTTCCCTTCTTTTTTTTTTAAGTAGGGTCTCACTGTGCAACACAGGCTAACCCTGCCTCACTCCTGAGCACTGGCAGCTGCTCTGTTGTTGAGATTACAAGCCTTCTGGAGGTGATGCTCCTGTCTCTGGGTGATCCCTGCTCTTATCTTCCTTGCTTCCTCCAGATAACACTGGAGTCTAGACGCTTGGCTCTAGTCTGTTGCTTGGCTCTTTGGCGTTTGGCATTCTTCCCCTTTCTACCTTGAGTATATCAATAGCATCTGCACCTCTGGCATGAATCTGCTTTGGTTGCTGAGAGAGTGGAATTAATCAACAGGATGGGGTCTTCAGTTCAGGTGTTGGTTGGTTGGTTGTTCTAGATAGTTGTTAATTAGACTTGGTGGCAAATGGCTTTACCACTGAGCCATCCTTTTTTTTTTTTTTTTTTTTTTTTTTTTTGGTATTTCGAGACAGGGTTTCTCAGTAGCTATGGAGCCAGTCCTGGAACTCATTCTGTAGTCCAGGCTGGCTTGCTGGCTTCAAACTCACAAAGATCCTCCTGCCTCTGCCTTTCAAGTGCTGGGGTTAAAGGCGGTGCACCATGATCGCTGGGCTACCACTGAGCAATCTTGATGGAGGAGAAATTAAGTGAAATTAACGATATGAGGGACTCACCAACAAACCTACTCAGGAAGAACTGTTACACAGGTAGGGTTAGCACTGCCAGCAGCATGGCTGGGGAGTTCATATTCACCTGTTAGAAAAGTTTGTGCCATAAGGAAGTTTAGGGTGGCTGTGAAAACACTTCTGTAAATTCTTCACCAGAGTTGACCTATAATCAGGCTCCATTCCCTAACAAAGGGAGACAAGCCTGACCTAGAACCAACCATCGTGCCCATCCTCTTATCAACGAACATGCCTCTAGCTCAAGGGGACAGTCAGGGTGACAAGTCCTGGTCCACCATTAGTTAAGTCTTTATCAGGAAGAGGCAGGTAAGCAAGATGACCAGATGACAGCCTTTACAAAAGAACATTGAACTTAAAAAATAACGCTGGCAATATCTGTGCTGTGTAACTCTCCCATCTGCCCAAGGGACTCAATTTACAGTCTCCTGCCTCTGTTTAAGGATAACAGTGTGTGTGGAATGTATGAGCCTGTGGTCTGCAATAAAGTTAATATTCTGCTCAAGGGTGGTTCCCTTTTGTGCATTAGCCAGAACCAATCACACACTATTATTAGAGTTTTTCCTACAGTAATCTCCAAATGCTCAAAGCAATTTCTCACGAGGAAGCATTCCCAGCCCGACTCTTCTATGTTTTGACAGGGTTTCCCTATATAGCCCAGGCTGGCATGGAAGTTATCATGTAGCCCAGGTTGGTCTTAAACTCATTGTAATTCTCCTGCCTCAGGATCCTGAATACTGAGATTACAAGTGAAAGCTAACACCTGACTGTGGGTTTGCTCCTTGTTGCTGGGGGTGGAGCTCAAAGTGCCCTGTGTGTTAGGCAAGCACTTTCATTGACAGTACCTTAACCTCCTCTGTTTTCTTTTTTTGTTTGTTTTTTTTTTTTTTTTTTTTTTTTTTTTTTTGAGATAGGATTGCTGTATGTAGCCCTGGCTATCCTGGAACTTGTTCTGTAGACCAGGCTGGCCTCAAACCATAGAGATCCGCTTGCCTCTGCCTCCTGAGTGCTGGAATCAATGGTGTGCGCCACCACTACTTGGCTTATTTTGGTTTATTCGTTTGCCATCTGTCCTCAGTAGTCTGGGAAAGAAAACAGGAAGTGGCTGGGTATAGTGGCACTCTCCTGTCACCCCGGTACTCTGAAGGCCCAGGAAGCATCAAAGGGAGACAGCCTGAGCTATATGAGGCTTTGTCTCAGAAAATAAGAAGGGGGAAAAGAAAAAGTTTAGAAAGCAGTAACCACCTTATTTGTATGTGGGAAACAAAAGTGAACATTTCCCCTTTTGGTTTTTGTGGCCTTGTTCAAGGTTTGTGATTCGTGACTTTCGAGATCTGAGGGCCACGGCTGCAGAGGTGAGTGCATGTTGACTGGGATGGAATGTCCTTTTTTTAGTGTATACTATACACTAATTGCCTTTTATTTGATTCCATTTGTCTGTATCTCTGGCTGTCCTGGAACTTACTACTATGTAGACCAGGCTGGCCTTGCACTCACTGAGATCCACCAGCCATTGCTTCCCAAGTGTGGGGATTAAAAGTGTGCACCAAGCTGGGCAGTGGTGGTGCATGCCTCTAGTCCCAGCACTTAGGTAGAAGCAGGCAGATCTCTGTGAGTTCCAGGCCAGCCTCGCCTACAAGCGAGTTCTAGGACAGCCAGGGATACACAGAATAACCCTGTTTTGAAAAACAAGTGTGCATTACTATACCCCGGCTTGTTTTTTGATTTTTAGAATTACGTTTGTTTCTTTGTTTTGTGTGTGCTTGTGGGCTTCAGAGGACAACTGGCAGAGTAGGTTCTCTCCTTCTGTTGTGAGTTCTGGGGATCAAACTCAGGTAGGTCTGGCAGCAAGTTCTTTACCCACTCAGCCATCTTGCTGGCCTAGTTTATTTCTCTTGTTTGCTTGAAGTGGAGTCTCCTTGTGTACCCCAGGCTGACCTGGAAATTGCCGTGTAGCTTAGGCTGTGCTCAAACTTGGAACAAACTTCTTGCCTTTGACAAGAGGTCCTTGGGATGACAGGCATTCACCCCCATACCACACCTTACTAATTTTTTCTTTGTTTGGTTTTGTTCTTGAGATAGGGTGTTGCTGTGTAGCCCTGGCTGGCTTCAGAGTAATGGTGATCCTCCAGCCTCCACCTCCTGAGTGCTAGCATAACAGGCTTCTACCACATTGCCAGGTTTAGGGAGTGCTGGAGCTAGAACCCAAGCTTTGTGCATGCTGGGCAAACCCTTTACCACCTGAGTCCCAGCCTTTGGGTGTGGCTGGTATTTCCTCACTCACATGCTTATTTCTGTGATATTTAAGTGAGAGCATGGGTTAATGACCTATCACCAGGGCTGTGTGGTCTGATGGGGTGACACTCCTCAGCTCTTTCCTGCCAATGTCCCTCTGAACTTCCCTTTTATAATGACCCAGCCAGTCCTGGAAATCTAGTTACTCTGCTCACCCGACCATCAGAGAGAATGAGTGAGTCATTTCCTTTACTGGCCAGATCCTGGTTGCATGAATGAGTCACTGGTCTGGTTAGCCGTTGGGCAATGGAGTATGTATTATCAGCACAATGAATGTGCTGGTACACGCCTTTAGTCCAAGCTCTGAGAGTTCCAGGCCAGCCCTAGGTACTTAGGACAACACTGTTTAAGGAAAGAAAAAAAAAATTACGGTGTAGCTGAGCAGGAAGCCGGGACTTGGGCGGGGCCCCTGTACAGTAAAGGTGTGGGGTTAAAGGTTAACGGGGATTCAGATTCATGAAACTAGGCAGTGGTGGTGGCTCACACCTTTAATCTGAGGCCAGCCTGGTCTATGGAGCAAGTTCCAGGAGCCAGAGCTACACAGAGAACCCTGTCTCAAAAACATCATCAAACAAACAAAAAATTACTTTCAAGATCCTGACTTCATATGTTTTCTTGATGGGTTCGTTTTCCTCCATGTGTGCTCATGTGGTACAGCATGCTGTGCATGTATGGAAGTCAGGACAACTTGCCTGAGTTGGTCTGTCTTCCGCCATGTGGGTCTCTGGTCTAGAACTCAGGCTGGCAGCCTTGGCAGCAAGCACATTTACCAGCTCAGTTATCTGGACTCACATAGAAACCTTAGCATTTTGCCCCTTCCCTCGGTGGAGCTTTGCTTGGCATCCAGGCTGGAGATTTGGCTCTAGGTTAGACCCACTGTTCTTGTAGGATTTGGTTCCTGCCAAGTCTGTCTGCCCACAACCACATGTAAGCCTGGATCTAAAGGCCCTGATGCCCTCCTCTGGCCTCCCTGGACACTGCATTCATGTGCACAAACCCACACACAGACACATAATTTAAAAGAATGAAAACACTCAGTCTGGATAGATGGCTCAGGGGTTGAGCGAGTTGCTTGCTGTTCCTGAGTTCAGAGGTGTAGCTCAGTGGTAGAACATTTGACTGCAGAGGTCCTGAGTTCAATTCCCAGCAACCACATGGTGGCTCTCAATCACCTGTAATAAAATCTGGTGCTCTCTTCTGGCCTGCAGGAATGCATGCAGGCAGAACATTTCATACATAAAAAATAAATAAATAAAAACACTTATCACTGGGCATGGTGGTGCACACTTTTGGGCAGATTTTTTAGTTCCAGGCCAGCCTGGTCTATAGAACAAGTTACATGACAGCCAGGGCTACACAAAGAAATGCTGTCTCAGGAAAAACAAAACAAAACAAAACAACAAAAATTAAAAATGCCAAGCATGATGCCCATGCTTTATTTTTTTATTGAAAAAAAATTCTGTGTAATATATTCTGATCATGATTTCCTCTCCCTCATTTCTACCAGACCTTTCCTATCTTCTTTCTCTCTCTTTAGAAAGCAAACAGGCTCTGAGCGGTGGTGGCACACACCTTTAGTCCCAGCCCTTGGGAGGCAGAGGCAGGCAGATCTCTGTGAATTCGAGGCCAGCCTGATCTACAGAGCAAGTGCCAGGGCAGGCTCCAAACAATACAGAGAAACCCTGTCTCGAAAAAAAAATTCATAAAAACTCATAATTGGAAACCATAAAATACAAGCAAAAGACCAGTAAGGCTGAAGAAGAAGAGGAGGAGAAGAGCCCAAAGAAAACATGACAAAAAAAAAAAAATCTCTAAAAACAGTATTGAGTTAATTTTGTGTTGGCTTGTACTGCTGAGCATAGGGCCAGCCCTTAATTGTGCTTTGTGTACTCAGTAAGACTTAGCTTCTGGGTTAGGGATGGAGCCCATGTTCAGTTTCCCTCTCAGCAAGCACTTGGACCGTGTCTGGTTGGACCTGTGCAGACCCTTTGTGTGCTGTCTTCGTGAGTTCCTATGTGCGTCAGTCCTGTTGTGTTTAGAAGGCCTTGTCTCATTGGTGTCCTCCTCATCTGAAGGGTCCCCTGAGGGGAGAGATTTAGTTCATTAAAAACCGAGTGGCTCATTCTCTGTACACTGTCCAATGTGAGTCTCTGTGTTTGTTTGTTTGTTCCTGTCTACTGCAGGAAGCTTCTCTGATGAGAGAGACATTAATGGATGAGTGTAACAGAATGTCAGCAGGAATCACTTTGTTGCTACCCCCCTTTAGCAGAACAATAGTATTTGTTTTCCCTCTAGGTCCCTGACCATTCTAGTTTCAGGTTCTTGGCCACGGGATCTGTCAAGCATGGGTTCCATCTAATGAGGTGGGGTTTAAATCTGATCAGATAGTGGTTGGTTACCCTCAGAGCTTCTGTGCCACTATTATACAGTGTATCACGAAATCAGGTGACCCACACTTCAATCTCAGCACTCCAGAGGCAGAAGTATGCAGATCTCTTGAGACCAAGAGCATGCTATTCTATTTGGAGTTCAAGGCCAGCCAGAGCTACATGGGGAGACCCTGACTTGAAATAACAGCTCTAGCTGTCCTGGAACTAGCTTTGTAGTCCAGGTGGGCCTCCAACTCAGAGATCTGTCTGTCTCTGCCTCCCCAGTGCTGGAATTAAAGACATGCGCCACCACTGACCAGCAAATTAGATAAACCTTTATACTTTCTTCAACAGCCCAGATGTCAATATTAACAATTGATTCACAGATTTCCACGTATGGGTCCAGCAAATTTCACTGGCTATGCTGGGTAAATTTACCAGAAACTGGGAGTTGGCGTTTCTGTTGTGTCCCCTGGTATCAGGGTGGTGTGTGGCCAGTGTTGTGTTCTGCTGTTGACAGACCCTTTCTTCCCCTTTGTTCTTACAGCAGAAGACACATGCGACAGGAATGAGTTCCGGTGCAGGGACGGGAAATGTATCGCCAGCAAGTGGGTCTGTGACGGCAGCCCTGAATGCCCGGATGGCTCTGATGAGTCCTCTGAGACATGCAGTAAGCCCCCTGTATTTATTTGTTGGTGGTGGGTGCTAGGGATGAAACCCACGGCCTTGCACGTGCTAGGTTGGGGCTCTTCTGCTAAGCTACGCCCCATCCCTCACTGGGGAGTTCTAGGTAGGGAGTTCTGCTGTTCAAGACCCAGTGTTCTTGACCCATTTTCAGTCCTTCCAGATGGCGCAGGGTGACTATCAGTAACCAAATTTCCAAAATCCAAAGTATTTTGTTGCTATGATGGTGGATTTGGAGGGTTTCACACCTTACCCCATTCTATGCATTGCAGGCAAAACACGGGTCCACTAAGAGCCCTGTATGAAATTATCTACAGGGGCTGGTGAGACGGCTAAGCAGGCATGGAATTTGATCCCTGAAACCCATATAGTGGAAAGACTCCTGCATGTTGTCCTATGACCCCCCACATATGTTACGTTACATACACACACACAAATGGATCTGGTGTAACTAACTGGTATTCACTTTGAGTGACTGTTCCTCTTTCTCCCTAGTGTCTGTCACCTGTCAATCCAAGGAATTCAGCTGTGGGGGCCGTGTCAGCCGCTGCATTCCTAACTCCTGGCGTTGTGATGGGCAAACAGACTGTGAGAACGGCTCAGATGAACAAGGCTGTGGTGAGTGTTGCCCAGACTACAGGTGGTGTGGGGGTGGGGTGGTGTGTGTGAGGGGTGGGGTGTGTGTCTATGGGGGGGGTGTGGTAAGAGGGGTGTGTGTGTATGTGTGTGTGCTGGCCCTGCATGCACTAAGGAATCCACCAAGGGCCCTAGTGTGTGACAGCCATTAGTCATTCCTAAGGGACCTCCACCTGTGGTGCGATTGCTCCTTCCTGGCTCCCTCCTTTGGCTTAGTTTCACCTTGAAAGATGGAGGGATGGTGCCTCCTCTCATGGACATCAGAAGCTTTTATTGAGGCGGGAAGCCCTGGTGACTGTTGCCAGGCAGCCCACATAGAGGCTGCACACGCAGGAAGTGCTCACATATGTTTATCTCTGTGACTTAAGTACCCACACTGAGGAAGAAGGCTCCCCCACCCGCCCACTGAGCTCTGTTAGGAAGCAGAGCTGATGAACTGGAGGCCAGTGCGCCTCTCAGCTCCATGTCCGACATCATACCACTTTCCTGTGCAGATCTCTCTTTTTTTTTTTTCCCGAGACAGGGTTTCTCTGTATTGCTTTGGAGCCTGGCCTGGAACTCTCTGCAGATCAGGCTGGCCTCGAACTCACAGAGTCTCTGCCTCTGCATGCTGGGATTAAAGGCGTGAGCCACCGCCCAGCGCTGTGCGTATCTCTTAGACCCACAGTGGATGCTTGGGGCGTGAGAGTGCTGAATCCTGACCATTATAGACGTATACTGTAGGAGTCTCCATACCTACATTCCTTTAATACAGTGTAGTGTATACAATTAGTACAGTAAGCAATTCACAGCAGTATCTAAACACTAAGGTGTGGCTCAGCCTCTGCCTGGAATACCCCAATGAGGGGCTCTGGTGGAGCTCAGTGCTAGACGGCTGGCTTGATACTTGACCCTGCGATGAGGAAACCGAGGCAGAGAAGGTTGCTGCAGCTTCCTGGGCCCTTGCCTACGACTGCCACAGCTCTTCAAGGCTCTGTGAAACAGGCTGTGGTCCTTTTAAGCACAAGGGTTCTGTCTGTGAATGGACTAGTGTGTGGTGGCATGGGCCATGACGTGACAGGGTGCTCTCCTCCCTGTGATCCCCACAGCCCCCAAGACGTGCTCCCAGGATGAGTTCCGCTGCCAGGATGGCAAGTGCATCTCCCAGAAGTTTGTGTGTGACCAGGACCAAGATTGCGTGGATGGCTCTGACGAGGCCCACTGCCAGGCCGCCACTTGTGGGCCCGCGCATTTCCGTTGCAACTCCTCGGCCTGCATCCCCAGCCTGTGGGCCTGTGACGGGGATGACGACTGTGAGGACGGCTCCGATGAGTGGCCACAGAACTGTGGGGGCCGCGACACCGCCGCTGCCTGGAGTAGCAGCCCCTGTTCCTCCCTGGAGTTCCACTGTGGCAGCAGTGAATGCATTCATCGCAGCTGGGTCTGTGATGGCAGCGCTGACTGCAAGGACAAGTCAGATGAGGAGCACTGCGGTAAGGCCCCGGGAGTGGGGATGCGTGGTCCCGGCCCTGCACCGGTGCTTTGGGGCTTAGCAACGTGAGAGTACCCAAAAAGAAAGTTGATTTTTATTTTTTATTTTTTGGTTTTTCGAGACAGGGTTTCTCTATGTAGCTTTGGAGCCTATCCTGGCACTGGCTCTGGAGACCAGGCTGGCCTCAAACTCACAGAGATCCTCCTGCCTCTGCCTCCTGAGTGCTGGGATTAAAGGCATGCGCCACCAACGCCGGCGAAAGTTGATTTATTTTGAGTGAGGGGCTGGCTCAGTGGTTAAGAGCTCCTGCTTTCAGTGCATGAAGTCTCTAGTTCCACAGCCATGCTCAAGCCTGCATTTCTACCAGCTGGGGACCAAGTGTTTAAACATATGAGCCAGTGCAGGCGTTCTCATCCAAACACCACATCACACTTGCATTCAATCCCGTGAGTGATTTATTTAAAAATAAAATTATTAGCTGGGGTGGTGGTAGATGCCTTTAATCCCAGCACGTGGGTAGCAGAGGCAGGTGGACCTTGGTGAGTTCGAGGCCAACCTGATCTACAGAGTGAGTTACAGGACAGCCAAAGGTACACAGAGAAACCCTATCTCAAAGAAAACCACAAAAATAAATACATAAATACAAAATTATTATTGATGTATATAGTCTATGACTGTGAGTACATATATGGAGGTCAGAGGACAACTTCTGGGAGTCAGTTCTCACCATCTACTATAAAGATTCTAGGGGGGCTGGAGAGATGGCTCAGAGGTTAGGAGCACTGACTACTCTTCCAGAGGTCCTGAGTTCAATTCCCAGCAACCACATGGTGGCTCACAACCATCTATAATGAGATCTGGTGCCCTCTTCTGGTGTGCAGATATACATGGAAGCAGAATAATGTATACATAATAAATAAAATCTTAAAAAAAAAAAAGAGTCTAGATTATTAAAAAAAAAAAAGATTCTAGGGATTGAACTTGGGTCTTTGGGCTTGGTGGCAATTGTCTTTACCTGAGCCATCTTGCCAGCCCTCCAACTGCTAAGTTTAAGCTAGCTGCAATGAGACAGAGAAGAAAGAGTCTCTGATTGGTGCTTCTTGTGACAATGACCACCCTGTCCTCTCCAGTGACAGCCACCTGCCGGCCTGACGAATTCCAGTGTGCAGATGGCACCTGCATCCATGGTAGCCGCCAGTGTGACCGTGAATATGACTGCAAGGACATGAGTGACGAGCTTGGCTGCATCAATGGTAAGCTTTGCTCCCACCCTTTCCTGTCCCTGCTCCCCCTGTAAAGTTGGGACACTGATGGTCTCAGCTGAGGGAGGGGGATCAAGTCCTTAGCAGCTGTGTTTTCTTTTCTTTCTCTCTTTTGTTTTTGTTTTTTTTTCTTTTGAGTGTCCTGAGATAAAACACAGGTCGTCTATCTGGCCTGCTGATACTTTTTCTATCTCACTGACCTGCAATTTTGAAAAATACACGTAACATGAAATGACCACATTCTAGGGCTGAGGTGTGACTTTGTTGGTGAATTGCTTGCCTTGCATGCACAATGCAGTGTGTCCTAATGGCCATATGCACTGGGTGTGGTAACCCCAGCACTTGGGAGGTGGAGACAGGAGGTCAAGGCTGGCCTTGCGTACACACTGAGTTTGAGAACAGCTCTCACTTAAAAAATTCACTGTTAGTTTTTTGCTGTTTGCTCTTTCTAGTTGAACTCAGGACTTCCAGCACAGGACTAGGAGTTACTTGTTACTTTTTAACTGCATTGACTGTTCTGGTTGTGGTGTACAGGCCTGGACTCAAACAATCGGGAGCCTGAGTCAGGCAGCACACAGACCTGAGGCCAGCCTGAACCAAGTAGTGAGACCTCTGGCTAAAAAACCCAATTCAACTAAAAATTCGTGTCTTTACAGCTGTCACTATACTCAGTCTCTCCAAGATTGTTTTGTTGTTGTTGTTTGTTTGTTTGTTTGTTTGTTTTGCGAGACAGGGTTTCTCTGTGTAGCTTTGGAGCCTATCCTACCACTCCCTCTGGAGACCAGGCTGGCCTCGAACTCACAGCAATCCGCCTGCCTCTGTCTCCCCAGTGCTGGGATTAAAGATGTGCGCCACCAACGCCCGGCTGGTGTTTGCTTTTTTAAGACAGGGTTTCTCTGTGTAGCCTTGGCTGTCCTGGAACTCATTTTGTAGAACAGGCTGGCCTTGAATTCACAGAGATGGGCCTGTCTCTGCCTTCCCAGTTTTGGAATTAAAGGCATGTGTCCCCCACCCCCACTCTGTTCTCCAAGACTTTTTGATCCTGCAGAGTTGAAACAAACTCTATTCCTGTTAAACAGTAACTTCCTACTCAGCAACTACACACAGAGCCTTGGCTCAGCCTGCATAAGGCCCTGGGTTCCATTAACAGCACTAAGAAAAAAAACACAGAGAAACCCTTTACAGCGGGCATGGTGGAACATCCCTGTAATCCTGAGCCATGTCCCCAGCCCTCACTGGGGGATTCTAGGCCGGAGTTCTACCCTGAGCCACACCCCAGGCCCTCACTGGGGGATCCTAGGAAGGGGCTCCATCACTGAGCCACACCTCCAGCCCCTCACTGGGGGATTCTAGGCAGGGGCTCTACCCTGAGCCACACCCCCAGGCTCTCACTGGGGGATTCTAGGCTGGAGCTCTACCCTGAGCCACACCCCCAGGCTCTCACTGAGGGATTCTAGGCAGGGGCTCCATCACTAAGCCACGCCCCAGCCCTCACTGGTTGCACCACAGCCACTCCTGGCCATTCACTCTCTTTGCCTTCATTAGTGACACAGTGTGACGGGCCCAACAAGTTCAAGTGCCACAGTGGCGAATGTATCGCCTTGGACAAAGTGTGCGACTCCATGCGGGACTGCCGGGACTGGTCAGATGAGCCCATCAAGGACTGCAGTGAGTGTTGGGAAGCCAGACAGATGGTGGTGTTTTAGGGGAGCCGGGCATGGCACCAGCATGTAGTTACCACGGGGTCATGAGCCCCACACTCCACAGCATTCAAAAGGCTTAGTATGCTTCATAGACCTGACAGAGCTTTGGCTCTAGGGCAAGACAGGCATGAAGGGAGGGGTGCTGGGAGATGAGGACCTGAGTGCAGATCCCTAACACTTATGTCTATAAAAAATACTCTTGGGTTTGGAGAGATGCAGTTAAAAGCACTTAACTGCTCTTATACAAGACTCAGCTTTGATTCCCAGCAACGGAGTCAAAATAGGTCATAATCGCCTGTGACTCTAGCTACAGGAGATCCAGCTCCTGGCCCCCAGTGCCTCTGGCTTCTGAAAACATCTGCTTCATGTTCTCACACCCACATGCAGACACACACATACAGTTCACATGATTAAAAATAATGAAGAGAAATTATTTTGAAAGTGTTTTGCAAAGACAATGCAATGACTTAGTGTTTCCAGTGGAGAGTCAAAGGGGCTCGAGAGTCACCAGTTTGCACCTCCTCAACCCTGTGCAGGGACCAATGAGTGCTTGGACAACAATGGTGGCTGTTCCCACGTCTGCAAGGACCTCAAGATTGGCTACGAGTGCTTGTGTCCCAATGGCTTCCAGCTGGTGGACCAGCACAGGTGTGAAGGTGAGTCTGCAGTGTGTCCAGGCTGTGGCTCTGAGCTCCCTCTGCCCCTTTCCATTGAACACCAGGTCTCAGTTTCCCCAGGTTCTCAAAGGGCAGAATGCAGTCCCTACCTCCTAGGGCTATTAGAAGGGTTCCAAGGGTAAACACTGAGCACAGGCCTGTTAGGAAGCATGGGTCATTGGCAGTTCTGCCTTTTGGGGTCATCATCAAGAATTAAAGGTTCACACTGGGAGGTGGTGACAGACACCTTTAATCCCAGCACTCCAGAGGCAGAGGCAGAGGCAGAGGCAGGAGGATCTTCTGTGAGTTGGAGGCCAGCCTGGTCTACAAAGCGAGTTCCAGGACAGCCAGGGCTACACAGAGAAACCCTGTCTTTTAAAAACAAAGATTCAGGCTAGAGCTGGGACTCCACTGGCAGAATGCTTGCCTCATGTGCAGCAGGCTTCAGGCTCCACCCCCAGCACATCCTGAACCCAGCATGGTGGCCCACACAGGTAATCCTAACACTTGGGATATGATGGCAGCAGGGTCAGAAGTTCAGAGTCATCTTCTATGTTGCAAGTTCAAGGCCAGCCTGAGCTATGTGAGAAAAACGACAAAACAGGTCGTATGTGGCAGGAAATGTCCAGCACTTGAGAGACAGAGACAGGCAGATCTCTGAATTCAAGGCCAGGTTGGTCTCCATAGCAAGTTCTGGGCCAGCCAGAGCTACATATAGAGACCAAAAATAAATAACCAGCCAGAGCTACATATAGAGACCAAAAATAAAAAAAAAAAAAAAAAAAAAAAAAAAAAAAAAAAAAAAGGGGAGAAAATAAAGAAGTGAAGGAGAGATGGCCGGGTGAATCCCACAGGTATCTAGCACTGGAGGTGACAAGGGTCCTGCGGGATGACATCCCTCAGCCACTGGAGGACCTATATTTTGATTTTAGCTTCCCTTCCCTACCTGTATCCTTGTAGGAAGGGTTCGTCTACCCCAGATAAACTCTTTCTCTGTTGATACAGACATTGACGAGTGTCAGGAGCCGGACACCTGTGACCAGCTCTGCGTGAACCTTGAAGGCAGCTACAAGTGCGAGTGCCGGGCTGGATTCCACATGGACCCTCACACCAGGGTCTGCAAGGCTGTAGGTGAGCACAGGGAGGCCGAGCTGCCTGGGAAGCCGAGGCGTGGGCAGCTCCTCTTTGGGGTTCAGAACTGTTAAACCTTGTGCTATCTGGGTATGGTAGCTCTCCGGAATCCGGGCTGTACAGTGAGGAAATGGGGCCTTTGCCCAGATATATCCTTTCTAGGGGTCACCAGCTGAGACTGTGGGACTCTACCTGTCCCTCCAGGAAGCATGGCCTGGGCCTCTGTAACATCTCCACTTACTCTTACTAAAGAACTGGATCCCGGGGTCTCAGGCTCGGAAGGTGGAGTTCTTGCCTGGCATGCATGAAGCCCTGGGTTCCTCTCCCTCACCACTCTGCATGGCCTTCCAGGCTCCGTAGCCTATCTGCTCTTCACTAACCGCCACGAGGTACGGAAGATGACCCTGGACCGAAGCGAGTACACCAGCCTGATCCCCAACCTGAAGAACGTGGTGGCCCTGGACACTGAAGTGGCCAACAATAGAATCTACTGGTCCGACCTGTCCCAGGGAAAGATCTATAGGTAAGCTTCGGTCCCTTCACCCTGCCGTCACCTGTCCCGGGGTGAGGCCCAGGCTCTAGGCTCCATGTGATCCCTTTTTTTTGCCTCAGTGCCCTGATGGACCAAGCACCTACCTTGTCCTATGACACCATCATCAGTGGGGATCTGCAGGCCCCAGATGGGCTGGCCGTAGACTGGATCCATGGCAACATCTACTGGACAGATTCAGTTCCAGGCAGTGTTTCTGTGGCTGACACCAAGGGTATAAGGAGAAGGACACTGTTCCAAGAGAAGGGGTCCAGACCCAGAGACATTGTGGTGGACCCTGTGCATGGGTGAGTGTCCTCAGAGCTGAGGAGTGCAGAGAACATTGGGATAAACTAAGGTGGGAGGGGAGATCCGGAACTGGTCTCAGGAATATGTGTAGCTGAGTAAGATAGATGGTTTTGAGCTATAAGAAGACAGTGAAAGAATAGCTTGGATTGCAAAGTGTTATCCTGTATCAAAATAATCAAAATCGAGGGTTAGAAGCTGGCTTATCAAGGGGCTGGAGTGGTGGTGGCTCAGGGCTTAAGAGCATTTGCTGCTCTTGCAGAAGCGCCAAATTTAATTCCCAGCACCCAAATGGCAGCTCACAGCCACCTATAACTCCAGGTCCAAGGGATCTGATGCCCTGGCCTCCTCAGGCATGGCACACAGGTATACAGACACATAAACATAATTAAAAATAAAATCTTAGCCAGGCTTTGGTGGCACATGCCTTTAATCCTAGTACTAGGGAGACAGGCAGGTGGATCTCTTTGAGTTCGAGGCCAGCCTGGTCAACAGAGTGAGTTCCAGGACAGCCAGGGCTGTTACATAGATGAACCAAACCTGGCTTAGTGGATGAAGGCATTTGCTTTCAAGCCTGACAACCTGAGTTCAATCCCAGGGACACATGCAGTAGAACTCACTGCTTACTGGTCTTCGGGGCCCAACACACAGGACAACTGCTGGGCATTCTCCGTAGGGAAGCACACCCTACCCACCACCCACCCCCACCTGTTATGCCTGTCCCTGTCAGGCCACATCCGTGGCCACGCAGGAGTAATTTCACAGTGCCTGTGCCTCAGGCCTACCTGGCACTGTCCATGCCCTGGCACCTCCTCTGCAGGGCCAGCAGTTACAGGCGTGCACTACCACACCCACCTTAACTCCACACTTTCAGAGAGGGGCTGGCCATCCAAGGTCGCATGTATTGACTGCAGGGAGAACCCTGCAGAAGTTGTACTTGGTGTTGGCAGCAGGGTAGAAGGCTTGAAGGGAATATATCTCACTCTGTAATGATGCCTGCCTTGCGAGTGTGGGGACCTGAGCTCCATCTTCACCACCCATGTGCAAAGAGCCAGTGTGGTTCCAAATTGAGAACTAGCTGTTTAAGCTGACTCTTGTCACCAGTAGTGGGAGCCTGCTGTTGGAGTCATCTCTCTTCTGTACCATCTGTTTGTCTTTCCCAGCTTCATGTACTGGACAGATTGGGGGACACCTGCCAAGATCAAGAAAGGGGGCCTGAATGGTGTAGATATCTACTCGCTGGTGACTGAGGACATCCAGTGGCCAAATGGCATCACACTAGGTATATCCAAGGGGTGGTCTTACCTGCAGGGCCTGGGCACCACGAAGTTGTCACAAGCACACGCTTGACATTATGAAATTTACATTATCCCCTTCCTATATAGCTGGAAGGGTTACTGGGTTGGGGAAAAGCCACAATGTGGCCTTAAGGTTCATGTGTGGTAAAGGACTTCTCTCAAAACTGTACCGGTTTTACTCCAAGCTAGTGCCCTGAAGTGGCATGATCTGGAAATTTCTAGAATCTTCTAGAATATTCTGGAATACTCAGGCAAACTGAATGATCTTATTCTCACCTCTGACCTCTTCGTATCTCCTTGTCTATTTGTGATTTTAGATATTCCCAGTGGCCGCCTCTATTGGGTTGATTCCAAACTCCACTCTATCTCCAGCATTGATGTCAATGGGGGCAATAGGAAGACCATTTTGGAAGATGAGAAGCAGCTGGCCCACCCCTTCTCCTTGGCCATCTATGAGGTGACCTTCGGGAATGTGAGAGAATTTGGTCCAGCCCTAGATATGACTCATCCATTCAAGTCAACACTGATTAGGATACAGGTTCTTGCTTAGAGATCTAGAGAGAGTTGGTAGAATTGCAGCTATTTCTTGGAACCAGTTTTTATTTTGTTTTATTTCTTTTTTTTTTATTGTGATGCTAGGATTGGAACCCAGAGTTCATGAAGAGACAGGAAAGTGCCTGGGGCTCACTGGCCAGCTATTGTAGCCAACCCAGTGAGCTCCAGATTCAGAGAGAGAGAGAGAGAGAGAGAGAGAGAGAGACCCTGTCTAAAAAATTAAGGGGAAAGTGACTGAGGAAGACACCTGACATCTACCTGTGGCCTCCACACACATGTGCAAAGCACACAAACATATGCATGCAACAGAGAGAGAGAATGGTTAGGATGAGAGATTTTATGCATATTTCACTACATTTATAAAGCAGAACTTTCTACTACACCCACTATTGCTTATGCTTAGAGAACCCAGAGGTTTGGGGGAGGTTATGGAGATGTGTTATGGCCAATGTTTTAATGGGCTTGGTTGTCTTGCATACATGTCACCCATGTAGGACAAAGTATTTTGGACGGATGTCATAAATGAAGCCATTTTCAGTGCCAATCGCCTCACAGGCTCAGATGTTAATTTGGTGGCTGAAAACCTCTTGTCCCCAGAGGACATTGTCCTGTTCCACAACATCACACAGCCTAGAGGTAAGCCCCTACACTCAAGCTTCTCTGCCATTGTCCTAGAATTCGCTAGACTTACCTGGCTTATTTGACAATGAGTTCAACACCTTCCTGTACCCAATAATAAAATTTTCATCCATTGCTCTCGAATTTTTCTAGACTATTCTGATGGATCTGATGTCATCAGTTCATTCTATCTGAACATCTGTCTTTTTCCCTGCAGGGGTGAACTGGTGTGAGAGAACAGCCCTCCCCAACGGTGGCTGCCAATACCTGTGCCTGCCCGCCCCACAGATCAATCCTCACTCCCCAAAATTCACCTGTGCCTGCCCTGATGGCATGCTACTGGCCAAGGATATGCGAAGCTGCCTCACAGGTATGGGTACAAGTCCCAGGAGCTGTGCTCACATGAGCCTGCCAAGGCTGACTGCACATGAGAGCTGCCTGAGGACTCATGAATGCGCTCACTTAGGCTGAGGTCCCCTTTGGGTCTCGTTGTCTCTAAACTCCATGTGGAAGTGGTCTAACTTCACATCAGGGCATCAAGTGAGAAGCAGGACCCCTTTCCCTGATTTCATCTGAGAAAGGCTCACTTTGGAGTTGTTTCCATCTATTTTCTGCTGCTAAAACAGACTGCCTGAGACTGGAGAATTTATCAAGCGTATATGTTTTATGTGGCTCCAGGTTTTATATACTGGAAGTCTCAGTATCTTTCTGCATGCTAACATGGGGGAAAGCGTCACGTATTGGCACACAGCAGATGTTCTCATTTTGTTTATTCATTTATTTAAAGGACAAGTTTTTGGGTAGGAGGGCAAGCTCCAGGACAGTTAAGGCTACACTGGGAAACCCTATCTCAAAAAAAAAAAGCAAACAAACAAACAATGGTTGTGTTTCATCCTTTTTCTTTTTTTTTTTTTTTTTTTTTTTTTTTTGATTTTTCCAGATAGGGTTTCTCTGAGTGGCTCTGGCTGTCATGGCACTCACTCTGAAGACCAGGTTGGTCTCAAACTCACAGAGATCCCCCTGCCTCTGCCTTCTGAGTGCTGGGATTAAAGGCGAGTGCCACCACTGCCCGGCAGTGGTTGGATTTCTAATGTGGATTTTGGGGTCACTCTCATCATCTCAGGGACCACAGTGTCCTCAGCATTTGCACACCCTGTTTGTAAGAACAGGGTAGGTACTGTGGAGGCTGAGGCAGGAGAATCACAAGTTTGAGGTCATCCTGGAACAATGTTGCCAGCTGCTTACCAAATTTTAAGTGGAACTTGGTAACCTGCTTTCCACACAGAGTGGAGGTGTGGGTGGTACCCTAGCTCATGGCACTCAGGTCATGTTTATTGTCTCACCAGAAGTGGCACCTGTACTGACCACCCAGGGAACATCCACCATCAGGCCTGAGATCACTGCAGGAGCCGAAGGGCTGCCGAAGCACAAGGAGGATCAGTCGGCTTCCAGTACTTCCAGGCAGCCTGCACTTAGCACAGTGGAGTCGGTGACAATGTCCCACCAAGGTAAAGGCCAAGCCCACCTTTCAACCTTTCATTTGATAAGAACTACATTTTTTTTTAAATTACACTGATTTTTCAAAATTTTTATTTTTAGTGGGCCCCAGCAGGCACCTTCATTAAAACAAGCCATCTTACTGGCTCTGTTTTTACTTTTTTCTTTTTTTTTTGAGACAGGGTATCTCTGTGGCTTTGGAGGCTGTCCTGGAACTAGCTCTTGTAGACCAGGCTGGCCTCGAACTCACAGAGATCCACCTGCTTCTGCCTCCCAAGTGCTGGGATTAAAGGCGTGCACCACCACCCGGCTCATCCAGTTCTGAGTGCTGGGACTAAAGGCATGTGCCATCACTGCCCGGCTGTCTTACACTTTTAAAAGTACTTTCACATTTAGAGAGAATGAGGGAGAATATGAATGAATACAACACCTCAGTTAGCAACTTCCAGGGATCAAGCTCAAGTTGTTCTTGAAACTTGGTGCCTCTACCCACTCAACTATCTCCAGCTCTTCCTCCTCCTCCTCCTCCTCTCCCTCTTCTCCTCCTCCTCCTCCTCCTCCTCCTCTCCCTCTTCTCCTCCTCCTGCTGCTCTTGGACCCATTGCTAATTACACTGATTTATTCAGTGGGATTGGGTAGTGTGCCACCATGCCTGTGTGGTCAAAGCACAACTCTCGGCAGTCTTCTCTCTCCTTCCACCATGTGGGTCTTGGGATCAAACTCAGGTTAGCAAGATCCGTTACCCACTGAGTCATCTCACGGGCTCATTGTGCTGTGTGTCTACCTGGGTGTAGGTTTTGTGCAAATGTTTGGTATTTCTAGGGGTCTTGGAACTGTCCTCTGTGGACACTGGAGGACAACTGTGCCTGAGGTTAAGGCCGTATGATTTATGCAAATTTTGATAACATCTCCAGGTTTCCCTGAACAGGGTGGTAGACATGTGTCAGTTACTCTCCTTGGGTGGCTCCTGTCACGTCCCACTCTGAGTTCTGTGTCTTCTGACCTCAGCCTCCTTACTTTATCCTTTTTCTTACCCCAGTCCAGGGTGACAGAAGGAACGAGGAGCGGCCACAGGGTGTGGGGGTCTTGTCCATCACCCTCCCCATCGGTAAGTGCTGACTGTGCCATGGACATTGTGGGGCTCCTGAGACTTCATGCTTAGCCTGCTGGACCATAAACCTTTCTGACCCACAATGGAATGTCCCTGCCTGAGCGACATCCCTGCCTGAGGGACGCTCTGCCTTCCTGTGACCACTGCCCCCTTCTAATGTCATTCGTCCAAATAAGATTAAGTGACCCTGGTTGTGTGGAACACAACTTTAATCTCACAGGCAGAACTCTGAGTTTGTCTGAAGCCAGCCTGGTCTACAGAGCAAGTTCCAGGACATACAGGACTCAAAAATGTATCTCAAGAAAACAAAACAAACAAAAACTAAATAAAAAAGAGGTGTGGGAGAGGGAATTGTGAGTCTGTGTAGAAATCACATCGATCCATCCTTTAATCCCAGCACTCGGGAGGAGGAGGCAGATGGATATCTGTGAGTTCCGGGTCAGCCTGGTCTACATAAGTGAGTTCTAAGACAGCCAGGACTCAATAGTGAGACCCTGTCTCAAACAACAAAACAAAGCAAAGTTAACAGAGAATCTCACAAGGTAGAACTATGGAGTCTAGGCTGGTTCAGAAGTTGGCATCCTCCTGCCTCATCCCTCTGAAGTGCTAGGCTCACAGGTCCTGGGTCGTACCCACCCCCCCAGGATTTTTTCTGTGTATGATAAGTAAGTATAATTTTACATTCAGAACACACTGCTGTCATGTAAAGGAGCCAGAATGGAAATGCCTCACTGGCACAAGGCCTCCTGGGGCCTGCCCTGACCAAGCTCCTTCTCCCCATAGCACTGGTCATCCTCCTTGTCTTTGGGGCCATCCTGTTGTGGAGGAACTGGCGGCTGAGGAACATCAACAGCATAAACTTTGACAACCCAGTGTACCAGAAGACCACAGAAGATGAACTCCATATTTGCCGAAGCCAGGACGGCTACTCCTACCCCTCAGTGAGTATGCCCTTTTGTGGAAGAGAAGAGGCAGCTAGCAAGCTGAAGGACAGAAGTTAGCCAGGGGCATGCATAGCTCAGCAGTAGAGCCCCTGCCTGGAACCCCTCAGGGATGGGCTGGGGGCGTGACTCAGTGGTAGAGCCCCTCCTAGCATACTTGAGTCCATACTCTGTCCTCTGTGGCTGCTGAAGGAGGTGTCAGGCTCCTCTTAGTGGGAACTGGGTATTATGCAGAGGAAGTAGTTCAATTGCAAAGGCCTGTGATAGGATTGGGCATAATGTAGTTTTGTTTTTTGTTTTAAAAAAAAGATTTTATTATTATACAGTGTTCTGCATGTGTGCTTGCACACCAGAAGAGGGGACCAGATCTCATAACGGATGGTTGTGAGCCACCATGTGGTTGGTGGGAATTGAACTCAGGACCTCTGAAAGAGCAGCCAGTGCTCTTAACCTCTGAGCCATCTCTCCAGCCTGGGCATAATGTGTTTAAGAAGCATGGAGGAAGACTGGGAGGGTGGCTCTTGTTAAGAGAACTGGATGAGCCGGGTGGTGGTGCACGCCTTTAATCCCAGCACTTGGGAGGCAGAAGCAGGTGGATCTCTGTGAGTTCGAGGCCAGCCTGGTCTACAAGAGCTAGTTCCAGGACAGCCTCCAAAGCCACAGAGAAACCCTGTCTCGAAAAAACAAAAACAAACAAACAAAAAAAAGAGCACTGGATGTTCTTCCAGAGGACCTGGGTTCTATTCTCAGTACCCACATGTGTGTAACTCCAGTTCCAGAGGATCTGACACCATCTGGCCTTCACAAGCACGAGGCACACATGTGAGGCACAGACTTTCATGGAGACAAAACACCCACACACAAAAAATAATTCTAAAAAAGAAAAAGAAACCCAGGGGATGTACATGTGGCAATATCAGAGAGCCTTAGGGAGGACTTCTGCTCTGTGAGGCAGGCACCCTGGGGGCTCTCCACAAGAGTATTCACCCACCGCCCTCTGGTGGCTGTAAAGGGGACAGTAGACAGGGACCCGAGGCATGAGCCGATGCCTTCAGTGTGCAGTGGAATGTGGCGGAAGCTGACTGTGTGCAGTCCCCATTAGACTGATGTTTCCTGTGTTTATGGTTTTCTGACAGCGACAGATGGTCAGCCTGGAGGATGATGTGGCATGAACAGCTGTGAGAACCTTCTCTTTCCTGGCTCCCCCCGCCGCCACTCTCAGGAAGGAAGGACACTTTTTCTACACCTCCCTGTCCAGGACTGGTCCTGCTGCCTCTGTGAACACTGTGTTGCTCAAAGCAAGATAAGAGCCAAGCTGGGCCGGGGATCAAGCTCAGTGGCCTGCCTGCCCCAGGCTCTGTTCACTCACAGGAAGTGGGAAGGACCCAGGTGGAGAGAAGCTCTTTGCTCTGAACATACAACAGCAGGTTCTTGTGGCAGGGTCCCAGGGACCACAACCAATCCCTAAACTCAGGACTCCAGCATTTACCTCCACCCTGCAAGCCTTAGCCGCCTGCCAGTTAGCCTTGGCTCTGCCCCACATCAGGTGTTTCAAGCTACAGAAGCCAGGAAAGTGACTTGTGGCACTCGGCACTGATCTTGCTGAATCAGCAGCTGCAGTGCCCGATCCCTGCTCATGCCTTCTCTAACCCTTCTTCCGTTCCTGGAGGAACAGGCCTGAGTCGCCATTCTCCCTTCATGTTTATGAAGTGCCTGAGACAGACATCTGATTGCCTTGCTCAGGAGCCTCGGCCTGTGCTGTTTGAGCCGCCTGCTGCTGCTCAGGCATGGCCATCAAGACCTCAGCCCCGCGCCTAGCCTCCAGTCCCCAATTGTCCTTGTGGGACCTGCACTTCATTTCTCTCTTCGCACTTTTCCAGTTCAGAGTCGGGCACCCATGTGCTCTGCATCTGTGCTCTTAGATTGCACTGTTCCGTGGTGTGTTGGGATGGTGTTTTAGGCCAGATGTGGCCCCAAATCACTGACCACAGAAGACAATGCCCAGGGAGGGAGGAAGACGTCGGACTGATCAGGAGCCAAGCGTCCAGAAGAGTCCATTGCTCTCTTCAGTGCTGGGATGGAACTCAGAGCCTCTTTTTGGCCTTTTTTTTTTTTTTTTAACTTTAAACCTCTGACTTGTAGTTCTGATTCTGCACAAATACTGAAGCATTTCAACTGTTCAGCTCCTCTCATTCTAACAAAGATTTCCCTGCTCAGCTGGTTTGTGGTACACACCTGTCATCCTAACACTAGAGAGCCTGAGGCAGGTGGGTTGACAGGAATTGGAGGCCAGCCTGGGCTACACAATAAGACACTGCCTCAGAAAGGAAAAATGGAAGAAAAAGGAAAGAAAGAAAGAAAGAAAGAAAGAAAGAAAGAAAGAAAGAAGGAAAGAAAGAAGGAAAAAAGGAAAGAATAAACTTGAATGATTTTCAGCCCATAATTAGCAGTGTGGTGGCACATGCTTTTAATCCCAGAACTCAGGAGGCAGAGGTAGGCTCATGTCTGAGTTCCAAGCCAGCCTGGGCTAGATCATGCCAGGCCAGCTAGGGATACACAGTGAGACTATGTATCTGAAAACCAAAAGAAATCCATAATCTAGGTTATTTGGGAGAACTTGGAAGAATACTTAGAAATTGCCACAAATTTATCACACGGGTAACTAAGATGACAGTGGCAGTCTCTCTTGGATACCTGCAGGGTCCCACTGTCAGGGCAGAAGGAGGGCACATTGCCCAGCCCGACAGGACACTTGTAAGGGAGCTCTGTGCCAATGGCACCTGGTTTTGTTTTCACTCTGCATATTGTTCAAGGTTATCACACATATATAAAAATCTATTTATTTTTACAAACCTTAATTGCTGCACTTGTTGGTGACATTTCTCCAGGTTGAGCTGGGGTGACACTCTGGGATGCTCTGTGTACGAAGATTGTTTGAATGGGCTGTTCTCGGGCCTGTGTATTGCCTTGAGGGATAGGAACTGCTTTGAAGCCATTGTTCAGGTTTCTTAATAGGTTGGAAATGTCTTACTGTGATGGATTAAATTCCTTTTTGAAAACTTTGTCATCAGTGTGTGTGTGTGTGTGTGTGTGTGTGGAGTGCAGAGGCATGGAACTGGAGGTCAGAGGTCAGCTTTGTGCAGTCACTTCTCTCCACATTTGCCAAGGTTCTAGGACTTGAACTCAGGTCCTCAGGCTTGTACAATGAACAAGTTTGGCTGAAAATATTTAGTTTTATTTACGTGTCTGTAAGCATATATGCCTGTTTATACAGGTGCACACACACCTCTGTGTGGAGGCCAGAGAGAGCATTGGATGTCACTCCACCTATTTATTTTGAGGCAAAGTCTCTCCCTGAACCCTGGGCTCCATCAGCTTTGTTTGATGCCAGGAAATCCAACCTCCCTCTGCCCCACTCAGGCCAGTGGGTACAGCATGCAGAGAACCCCATCTTGTTAAGTAGATACTGGAGTCTGCACTCTGGTCCTTGGTTGCATGGTGAGTATCCTTAGCTGCTGAGCCCATCGTCCTGCCCACAATTTCCTAGATGAATGAATCATTTAGCCAAACCTGTATTTGTATTTGTTGAGATATATTTATTTGGTTGGTCTGGTTTTCTGTGACAGGGTTTCTCTGTGAAACCTTGGCTGGCCTGAAACTCACTCTGTAGACCACATTGGCCTCATATTCCCTGCCTGCCTCTGCCTCCAAGTGCTGGGATTAGAGATGTGCGCTACCACCTGGCTTTGTTTTTTGAGCCAGGGTTGTACTACGTAGCTCAGGCTGACTTTGAAGTCAGAAACCCACCTACCTGCCTCTGCTTCCAAGTGTTGGAGTTAAAGGTGTGTCTCTCTGCACCTCTCTGTATTTCTTAGCATTGAGACTATCTTTTCCAAACCTCTGTAAGTTGTTAGGAAACTAAGCAGGTTATCCAAAAAGCAAATCTTACTGTCTTTATCTGTATTTGATATTTCATTACATATGTATTTGATCATATTCATCCCGTCATCACACACCTGCCAACCCCTTCTTCCCAACCAACCTCCCTTCTACTTTCACGCCATTTTTCTTTTTTGGTAACCCAGTGAATTTGCTGGGGTTTCTTACAGAGTGTAGGCAAGGGGCTGTTTACAGGCCTCTGGGCTCTTTAACAGTGAACTCTGGAACTCAAAGAGATGCCTGTCTCTGCCTCTACCTCTGCCCAGAGTGTGGGATTAACTCATGTGCCACCATGCCCAGCTAAAATTAAACATTTTAAAGAACAAAGGGAGCCATGGTGCCAACTGAAGGCCTGTCTCTAGAATTGAGAGCCCTGGGAGAAGAGGAGCCAGGAGCTGGGGGGAGGGGGAGAGGCCCTGAGGGCTGAGGGCTAGTGAGGAAGCTGGTGGTGGGAGAGAGTTGACACAAGGAAGCACCTTTAGGACATCTTGCTAGGGCAGATGGAGAGGGAAGAACTCTATCCATAACCCACCCCCACGTCTCAGGGTTGAGACCAATAAAGGAACTTTGGGTAATGAAGCAGCAATGAGGAGCCCGCTAGACAAGCGGCCTGGGTTCAGATTCTGGCTCCATGACCTTGTGCACCTGGAGCCTGCTTCCCCCAGTAATCCCACCTCCTGCCAGGTTGTGGAGGGAACTCTGGACAAGCCTGTCATCTCCTCTGCATCCACAGGGTGGCATGTCCCTTCTTCCTTCCACCTTTTGTTTTGGGAAAGAGCCAAACCGCCTCTGGGAAAGAAAACTGAGCAGCGGCCTGGGAAGCCTCAAACTGCACAGGCTTTCAAGGACTACTTCAAATGACGCTCACTTGTGTGGCAAACAGGATAATGGAGCTTCAGTGGCCTGGGATTTGACAAACTGTAGAGCAGGATTGGGGCTACAATGGGGCACTGCACACGGAAGGTGATGGTCTCACTCCCCACCCCCACACCTCAGTGCCTCAGATAGGGTTTCTCTGTGAACTCCCAGCTCTCACTCTGTGGACCAGGCTGGCCAGCCTCCTGAGTGCTTGGGATTAAAGGCGAGTGCCACTGCCGCCCGGCAGCTCCAGGTTTTTTCTGTTCAAGGCCTTGCAAGGCCTTGCAAGGCCAAGGGTGATCTGATCACCCATGCCTTCCATCCTGCCACTGGGGAGGTGGAGGCAGAAAATCAGGAGTTCAAGGTTAAATTTGAGGCCTGCCTGGGGTCCATGACTCTTTCAAAAACAAATACCTCACTTACCAACATGCACTAAGGAGCTAGAGTTTAACTCAGTGGTGAAATGGCTGCCTAACAAGGGGAATGGGAGGTTCTTGAGGACAGGGTTCCCTTATCTGGTTTCCTGTCTTCTCTGCCTGCAGTTCTCTGGCCTCAGAATGGGGATCAATGAAAGACCTGGATGTGTACCCCAATATGTACAGCAATCATCTGACCCAGGGAGGGCAAGCGGTGGTGTTGCCCAGCATGACTCTATGGACTCAGTTCTGTCCAGGACAGGAGCCAGTCCTGACACACCAACTGCTGTTCTCTGCTGGTCACCACCCCTAGGCTGGTACCCCTTCCAACTCATAGTATCTCAGACCACAGATATCTGTGGTGAACCAGTTTGGAGCCCAAGACTGAGTAAGTCCCAGCCTGCAGGACGGAGGCAGTGGGAGGGTGCTGTACTGTGCAGCCAGCATTCCCTTAACTCCAGTACCACTCCATCTCCCCCCTGTGGTTTTCTGAGATGAAGTTCTCAGGCCACATCACCCCCACTTAGCCTGGGGAAAGTTTCCTGAGACTTCTGTGTCTTGTCTGACACTCCTGACAACTGCTTCCTGCCCTGGAGGAGGAACTCTCTCCCTGCTCTCCTGACCCTCCCTTTGGCCTTGCTGCCTTGGGGGGAAGGGGTGTGGGAAAAACTTGGGGCTTAATTAATCAGCCCCTTACTTGGCACAAGCCACTGGGAATCTGGAAAATTGTCCCTCCATTTGTGGCCTGCGAGCCAGGCTTGACCCAGGAGCCTTCTGAGGCGGCTTGGCGTCTGCCCTTTGTGTGTGCTTGTGTTCTCTTTGCACACCTGAGTTATCCTGATCTTCATCTCTGCATCTCTTCCCTTCCACCCTCGACCCCTGTGCGCAATGGACACTCCTCCTAGCCCTTTAGAGTCCTACTTTCCCACATTATAACCCTTCAATTCATTATCACCAGGTGTAATGACCTCACTCCTAGTTGGAGAGTCTGGTGCCCACCTGGTGTGAAACCTGAGACAAATCGATCCTGGCCTGGGGGCCAGGGTTTAGTTTCCTTTCCCAGATAACTGCTGCCAGGTGTTCTTGGATAGCTCCTGCCACATACGTTTTCTGTTGGTGATGGTGGTTTTTTTTTTGTTTTTTTTTGGTTTTTTTTGAGACAGGGTTTCTCTGTGTAGCTTTGGAGTCTATCCTGGCACCCGCTCTGGAGACCGGGCTGGCCTCGACCTCAGAGATCTGCCTGCCTCTGCCACCCGAGTGCTGGGATTAAAGGCATTTGCCACCAACGCCCGGCTCACATAACAGTATTTTAAGAAAGTGCAGCTGCTGCAGAACCACCAGGCAGGACATTCAACCAGCAGGGGACTGGCCTGGGTAAGGCCTCAGTGGTACAGCGCATGTCCAGCCTAAATGAAGCCCTAGAGTCCATTCCCAGTACCTCAATAGCAAGGGCTCAGCAGGTAAGGGCACTTGCCATGCGAGCCTGGCGATCAGAGGTTGGTCCCTGGAATCTTTGTAAAGGTGGGAGACTGACTCCCTTTCCTCCATATGCGTACATGCCCTCTGTGGCCTGCACCCATCTCCTCGCATACTGTCTCCCCACACACACACACAGTAAAAGGGGCTCTACTAGGAGGCCAGAGGCCAAGGCGAGGAGATACTAGCTCCAAAAAGGCAGGTGACAGGTGGAGACTTCAGTCCCTACGTGTGGTCATGTCCATAACCCACAACTGGTCCTCTGTCCCCCACGGCAGGGCATCTCCTGAGTCCTGAGGAGACCGATCCTTCAAATTTGGCTGCCCTGGGTTCAAATCTAGCCTCATGCTTACTTCCCATGTCTAAGCATCCTTTGTGCTTCATGAGCCTGCCTAGTGGAAATAACTCTGACTGACCACAGCTGACCCCAGACACATGGGGAGGGTAGAAAGACTAAAGGGGCTAGGTCACTGTTGTTGGATGCCCTTTCCATTGTCCTGACAAACCACCTCACCCCTGACAGCTCAAAGGAAGACACTATGCACCCTGGGGGCACCTAGCTTTAGGGCCCATTGGCTGGGAGCCCAGGGGAATGGTTCAGTCTCCGGACTTCATATATCTTGGGACTTGAGGGAAATGGCCAGATGGAACTGTGCTTATTTCCCTCATCTGTATACTGGACTCAAGATGGCACTGGGGCAAAGTCTGTTTGGTCTGAGACTCCATTCTATCTGTGGTTACTTCAGTGTTACCCCTCCCTCTGGCTGGTCTTGAGTATGAGAGCTGCTGGCCACTAGGGTGGCTAGCTCCCTTGAAGGAACAAGCCAGACTGTGGGTGGGAGTTTGGACAGGCAGCTGTAGCCTGGCCCCAGGATGTCCTCGGCAGGAAGCCAGTGCTGGGCAGTGACTCAGAGGCCAGGCATGAAGAGCTGGGGCCTCTCCAGGGCCCTGGGCCATACTCACTGGCCCCCTGGAGTCAGCCCCTGGTGTGCTCCAGTGAAGGGAGTGAGGTGGGTGTAAATTCTCCTGTACTAGAGGGTTAGGGGTTCAAGCAGCAGGCACTGGCCCTTCCAGTGCAAAGCAAAGCAGCTCCTTTCCACAGGGGGCCAGGGCCAAGCCTCATCTGTGGTTCCTGCTGCCCTGCTCCATCTTTTTCCTTTTCTGAAGATTTATGCATCTTATGAGTGTTTTGCTTGCATGTATGTCTGCACTGTGTGTGCCTAGTGCCTGAGGAAGTCAGGAGGCATCCAATCCCCTGAACTGGAATTAGAGTTGTGAGCTGCACTGTGGGTGCAATGAATTGAACCCAGGTTCCCTGGAAGAGCAGCCAGTGACCTTAGCTGTTGAGGCAGAGGCAAATATGGGCCTCTGCCCATGGGTTTGAATTCAGACCATCAGACTTGGTGGCCAGCACCTTTACTCCGTGGCTACTTTCTCCCTTAGTATCTGCAGGTCAGGTCAGCATGTACAACCAGAGTAAGGAGGCCTGGACTGGGTGAGTTCTCTACCCTCACATGGAAAGCCCAAGTCCACAGCAGTGACTCAGCCAGCAATGTGGGACTAGTGTTAGTCTCACAGACACTGTAACTTCCCCAGGGACATAGAGCCATGGCCACTTCCTGTTGTTGGGGTGCCACTGGAATCCAGTGAGTGGACATCAGAGGTGGTGCTAAGGGTCCTATAGTGTGCCCAAACCCTAAAACATTACCCAGATGTCACTGGGGTGGGGGTGGGGTGACCTGGCTCTGTATGTGGTTCAAGACTTGAACACAAGCCTAGAATCTTCCAATGATGGGCTTGGGCCTGGCATGAGGACCTCAGAAAAATAAGGGAGGGTGAGCTGAGATGGCTTAAGCACCTGAGGTGAAATAAAACTCAGGCAAAATGGCTAGTGTGGCAGCTGCGTGGAAACTCAGTGCCTCAAAAGGTAAGGTGGGAGGGGCTGGAGAAATGGCTCTGTTGTCAGGAGCATGGTGTGGCTGCTCTTCCAGAGGACCCAGGTTCAATTCCCGGCACTCAAATGGCAACTCACAGCCACTTATATTCAGGGGTTCCAATGCTTTCTTCTGACCTCCACTGGAACACATGGCTAACACACATACATATAAGCAAAACATTCTTTCAGGAAATATAATTTTTAAAAATGTAATTTTAAGGCCGGGCATTGGTGGCACATACCTTTAATCCCAGCACTCGGGAGGCAGAGGCAGGTGGATCTCTGTGAATTTGAGGCCAGCCTGGTTTCCAGAGCGAGTGCCAGGATAGGTTCCAAAGCTACACAGAGAAACCCTGTCTCGAAAAACAAACAAAAAAGTAATTTTAAAAAAGTTCCAGGTCAGGCTGGGCTCCATGAGACACAGTCTCAAGATAAGTAGATAATACATGAAGTCATTTACATATAGATTTTTAATTTTAGAGTGATCCCCCGCTAGGCCCCCATATCCCCAGTTCTGTGCAAGGTAAGAGGTCAAGGCTCTGGCTACCACGCAGTGTCCACCAGGCTCCAGAGGTAGTCGCTGATGAACTTCTGTGAGAGCTGTGCGCTGTCCAAGTGGATAGGCAGGGCCACAGTGGGGCCATGGTGGACTGAGGGCTCAATGAAAGGAAAAAAAAAAAAAAATGGTCCTCCCGTGTCCAGTGAAAGCAGTCTTTTGGTTCATATCCTGTTGCTTTGAGATGGCTCTCACTATCTTAGTCCAGGCTGACCTTGAACTTGTGGCAATTCCTTCTGTCTCAGTTTCCTGAGTGCTGTGATTACAGGTATTTGACATTACACCAGGCTAATTTCTTTTTATGTTTAAAACATGTTTCTGTGAATGTACGGGTGCAAACACGCTACAGCGCACCTGTTGAGGTCAGAGAACAACTTGTAGTTGCTGTTCTCCTTCCATCAGTGGGTCCCAGGGATTGGATTTTGGTCATCTGCGTTGGTGGCATGGGCCTTTACTCACTGATCCTTTTTTTCCTTTTGAGACAGGGTTTCTCTGTGTAGCTCTGGCTGTCCTGGAACTCACTCTGTAGACTAGGTTGGCCTCAAACTCACAGAGATCCACCTGCCTCTGCCTCCCGAGTCCTGGGATTAAAGGCACGCGCTACCATGCCTGGTTTTTCCTAATTTCTTTTTAACTAAGAATGGTATATTTGCCTGGCAGAGTCACACACCTTTAATCCCAGCACTAGGGAGGCAGAGGCAGGCAGATCTCAGTGCATTTGAGGCCAGCCTCAGATTGAGTTCCAGGATAGCCAGGACTGTTACATGGAGAAACCCTGTCTTGGAAAACAAAACAAAACCAAAACAAGAATGACATTTTTGCTGGGTGTAATGGTATACACCTACAATCCTAGCACTTGAGAGGTAGAAATGGAGTGTTCACCACAGACTTGTAGCCAATCTGGAGTAGAGAGCAAGTTCTAAGTCACCCCACTGCTGGGGATGGAACCCATATGCTAAGCAAGCATTCTATCACATGTCTTCTGTCTAACCTACCCCCATCTTTTAAAAGCTAAATACTATTTTTTAAAACAATTTACTTATTATTTTATGTGCATTTTGGTGTTTTGCCTGTATTTATGTCTGTATGAGAGTGTTGGATTCTCTGGAACTGGAGTTACAGTTGTGAGCTGCTATGTGGGTGCTGGGAAATGAACCCAGGTCCTCTAGAAGAGCAGCCAGTGCTCTTAACTGCTGAGCCACCTCTCCAGCCCCCAAAGCCAAATATTATCTGAGATAAACTGCATTCGCTTTCCCCGTTTATCTGTTGAGACAGAATGGCTTCTACATTTGGATGTAGATAAGGTGTGTCACCATCTCAAGAGTCCCCTTCAACTCTTTGGAGCACATCCCCAGAAATGCCCTTGCTGGAGCCTGTGTTTATGGTTTGTTGCTTGACACAGGGTTTCTCTGTGTAACCCTGGCTGTCCCAGAACTCCAGAGAGATCCCGGTCTCTGCCTCCCAAGTGCCCCACCATGCCCGCTGACTGTTTCTAACGTGAGGATGTGCCAGTTTTCTCAGCTGCTGCTTCATTCCACCCTGCAGTGACTTCTTAAAGGATACTGCCCTTGATCGTCCCTGGCTCGCATTCATAATCCCATTCTATTTTACTAATCTGGTGATAGAGGTGTGCCACGTACCTAGACAGAACGAGGGGAAAGAGTGGAGAAGACAGTTACCACAGCATTAACTTCAATCATGCCACAGGGCGGAGCACCAGGCCCAGCCCGAAGAACCTACACTGCAGAGGGGATGGTGATGGTGGTGTCCTCATCCACTTCTCTCTCCTGTTGCTGGAGATCCGCCTCCATCTCCCTGAGCTCCTGCAGCTCTGTGGTCAGCTGAGTGCAGGTCAGTTAAGGCCCAGGCTCAGGGAAGACTAAGGAAAATCACCTTGCCATATACCTAGCCGGAGCACCTGGCGCTTGAGCATTTTCTTCCTATTTTGCCTTTCAGTGTTGCCTTTCATTTCAGGGATGAAAGCCAAGACCTGACACATGCTAGGCAGACTCCAGCAGAGCACATCCCAGCCCCTCACTGGGGGATTCTGGGCAGAGGCTCCAGCACTGAGCAGCATCCTAACACGATCCAAGGGTACTCGAGGGAGGCTGCTGGGTACAGCTAAGGATATCAGAGGCTGGGGGGCTGGGGAGATGGCTCAGGGGTTAAGAGCACTGGCTGCTCTTCCAGAGGCCCTGAGTTCAATTCCCAGCAACCACATGGTGGCTCACAACCATCCCTTATGAGATCTGGTGCCCTCTTCTAGTGTGCAGATATACATGGAAGCAGAATGTTGTATACATAATAAATAAAATCTTAAAAAAAAAAAAAAAGGATATCAGAGGCTGGCCTGCAGACAGGCATCTTCCTTGCTGGCCTTCTGGAGCTCGACTTCCAGATGCTGTAGCTCATTGCCTCCCAGGCGCATGCATTCCTTCAATTCAAGAAGGCTCTGAGCCGCTTCCTCCTCCACAGCCAGGGTCTCTGCAATGGGACAGAAGCAGGTGCCCTTGGATTTGTCCTTTGCCCAGGACTCTGAAGACATGTGTGTCACTACCCAGTCAGGGCTCTGCTGCCCTCACCCCCCAGCAGCTTCTGAGCACCTCCCAGAATCTAGGCGTGTTCCTGTTTTGCCAGAACACGCTCAATGCTGAACATGGCAGTGTGCACCTGTAATCCATTACTCAGGAGGCAGAGGCAGGAGGATGCACAATTCTACATTGGCTTGGGTTAAACTCCGAGACTCTGCCAAAGCAAACACAAAACTCAGTGGCAGCTGAGCGTGATGCCAACAAGCCTGACTGGCTCCCCAGGCTGTCCACATGCCCGTTTGTGTGGTGCTGGGGATGGGAGCCAGGGCTCTCTGTGTGCCAGGCAAGCGCTTTACACACTGAACCTGCACTTTTGTTTGAGGGTGGTCTCATGTAGCTCCAAATGTATCGGTATACGGTCCCCTCAATGTCTGCTTATAACGCCCTCTCCACATTTTGGGTGGGTGTTGAGTGATGGGTCAATGGTCTCACTAAGATGTCCAGGGCTCAAGGAATTCTTCTGTCTTATCCAAGTTGCTCCAGAGAAGCAAGTCACAATGTATGGCCATTGAATTACTTAATTATTTTGTGGTACTGGGTTTAAATCTAGGGCCTGACATATGCTAGGCAAGCACTCTACTATCTAGCAGCAGCATAAGACAAATGGGGCAGGGGTGTGTGGGGGGTGGTGGTGGATGGGGTTGACATAGGGTTTCTCTGTAAGTGATACTGGCCAGAAACTCTATGTAACTGAGGTTGGCCTTGAATTTTCAACAAACCTCCTGTTCCCGTTTCTCAAATTCTAAGATTCTGTGTCTAAGTCACCAATGCTTCATTCAAAAAACCACCTTGGTTTGTATATGGAGGTCAGAGGACAACCTGTAGTAGTTAATTCTCCGTCACCACATGGTTCCTTCCTCTGGATCAAGCTGAGACAGGCAGGCTTGGCAGCAAGTGTCTTCACCCACTGAGCCATCTTGGTGGCCCTCATTTTACTTCATTATTACTGTTTGTCTGCAAGGCTTCATGCAGTCACATGTGCTCCCTCTGAGCTAGACTCCTAGCACTTGTTTTGGTCTTTTGACACAAGGCTCTTGTATGAGCCTGGCTTTGTATTTTTTAGACTCTTACATTCCTGACTCTCCTGCTTGTCTCTGATTGATGGCTTGACAGGGCTCCACCCTCAAGCCAGTTTAATGCAGCTCTGGGAATGGAACGCAGAGAGGGCTTCATGAACTCCAGGCAAGTACTCTACCAACAGAGCTACAGCCATGGCTCCTCTCCCTTGCTTTTAAAAGGCTTACTTTATTTCTAATTTTTATTACTTAACTATATGTATATGTATATGTGTGCCTGACGACCACGGAGGCTGGAAGTGTCAGATCTCCCTGGAAATGGAGTTCCAAGTGGTTGTGAACCGACTGAACTGTGGGCACTGAGAACTGAACACAGGTTTTCTGGAAGGAGCAGTGCTCTTAACTGCTGAGTCTCCAGTCCCAACAAAACTTCATGCTAATAACTCAAAACACTTAGGCACATGACCCTCTCAACTCTGAGCTGTTTTCTGTGGCACTGGCTAAACAATTCACTTATGCCACTGTTTCTGGTAGTTTCTTGTGAGCAGGCCTGAAGGCCTCCAGTGCAGACGTGGCCTTCCCACCCCTGCCCAAGCTCTTTCCACATATTTTACATGAGCATTCTTTGAAAATGGGTAAAGTATTTCACTATGTAAGTGTCCTGGATACACTGTGGGTTCCCCTCATGCACCTGCATGCAGTTGGGACTTGAGTGCAGCCCTGTGTGGCCTGTATCTAGAGACCACAACCGTGGGTGCTCTTTACTGGCCCTCACATGTTTTCGTTTTTGTTCTGAGAGCCTTTACACACCCCTGCTCCCTCAACTCTATCTAGGCAGAAGGCCCTCCCGGCTCTGGCTGTCAGCACTCTTAATGACAGAAAGGATGTGTCTCCTTAGCCCATCGCTGCAGAAAGCGAATGTTTATCCTGTCTCCTCTCAGGTAGGACGCCAGACTGCCATGGGACTTGTGTCCCTGGCATCATCCAGGGCCCAGCTCACAGCAGGCTCTGTTCAGAATCTAGTGGGAAGGTATGTACATTTTAAAAGGTTCCCAACCTTCAACGGTGAAGGGCACTGAGAGATGGGACAACTGTGACCACAGCACTGGAGAGCTAACAGACAGGACTGTTTGAATCTCAGCCACCCTCAGCTACAGAGTTCCAAACTAGCCTGGGCTACATTTAAGACAGAGTCTTGGGAAGTCCATGGGATCAGGTCCTGCCAACTCCTGTACTTACTTCTAAGTCCCTAGGTGACATCCGATGTCATGACACCCGTTTCACAAGTGGAGAAAATGAGACTAGGGGTGAAGGCTCCCACTCCCTTGAGTGGAGAGCGGGGGACCATAGTGGCTTTCAGGTCAGAGTTCACGCACAGTCTGCCATCGTGAGCTCTGACACTTATCTGTAAGCATCTGGGCGATGGCTACTGTCCGATGGGGAAACTGAGGCCCAGGGGTTGCCAGCTCCCACCGAGAGGTCCCCCGGGGCTGGAGCGCAGGGGCCCCGCCCTCACCCCG